ATGCATTGTTTTGCAACTTCTTTTTCACTTAAAAATATCTATCCATTTCAGCACACACATACATACTCCAAGGCATAGATATGGCACACTTTATGTAACCTGTTCTCCTTCTGATAAAAATTTAGTTTACTTTCAATTTTTTTCACTATTTAAAGAATGCTCAGGTGAACACCTCTGTACATAAAAAAATCACATATACTTGTAAGCTATTCCTAAAAGTGGAATTTCTAAGTCATAATGCAGGCGATTTCAATTTTGCATGAATTCTGCTATACTGTGTATCAAAACCCCATGCCACTCATTTACTCAAGTATTTACTGAATACCTATCATGTGCCAGGCACTACAATAGACACTAAGAATTTATCAATGGACAAATATATTTGAAATCCCTTCTCTCATGGAGTTCACATCACAGTGAATCAAAGCAGATGATATACAAATAAACAAATAGTATGGTAATGCTGATAAGATCTAAGAAGAAAAACGAAATGGGATAAAGGGACAAAAAGGACTAGGATTTATAATCATTCCAAAACAGTGCCCCTTTTGCCATGCTGCCTTACATGTGATATTATCAATAATTCAATGTGAAAAAAATGAAATACATTATTTAATGATCAATTCCCTGAATATTAATGAATGCATATTTTTTAATAGCTTACCAGACCATGCAAACTGTCATTGTACCTAATAATTTCATTCAATAGTCCACAAGATCCTTGTAAGCAATAACTGTATGCTTTTACTCCTCAATCTTAGCATAGTACCTGGCATAAAGCAAGCTTAATGAATGACAATGTAAGCAGTATTTCATATATAAACATATTTGAACTATTTGTAATGTAAATTGTTAGATACATATCTAATGTCATTTATATACACATATACTATATACATATATAATATTATCTAGTTTAAAATTTCTAAAGGATGCTATTAAATCAATAATATAATAAACTTATAAAGCAGTTAAACTAAACAATAATGAAAGTCCTCTTAAATCAAAACATCACAAGAATAATTGGGAAATAAATGAACAAATTTTAAATCATTAAGAATCAGTAAAAACTGCATTTTAAATGATCTCTAATACATTATCTTATTTAGTTTTATCTCGGTCCCATTATTAGGATGATCTTAATTGATGTATTAAATTAAAAGCCCAAAGGTGAAATTACTTTTATAAATAATATTTAATGATCCAGAACAAAATCAAACTCACATTTATAAAATTTAGTATTACTGTTAAATAGTGTTCTGGCATTGATGAATTTATTGTAAATTACTGGAACTGGAAGAATCTTAGAAAGCTACTTCAATTCCTTCATTTTACATATAAGAAAATAAAGAACCAGGGAGCTGACTTGCAAAGGTCTCGTAGCTAATCAGTGGCACAGCTAAGTTAGAATTAATATTCTTTGAGTCCTTTCTAGAGCAGTGCTCTTTCTAACACTACCAAGTCTCTCATAGATATGAGAAATTCTAAACTTAAAAATGGCTTGTATTTTAAAAACTCCTGTATAAATCACTTGTGGTTAGAACTGGGAATGAATTTTTCCCCTAGAAATAATTTTTAAATTGGGCTGAATTCCTAAATTAGTCTCCAAATAAAGGTGCTCTGGGGAACTAATAGTCCTTTAAGTCAAAAGTCTGTACAATAGGGAAGAACAAAAGTTAAAGGAAGGGCTATTTTTATGTATAGATCTTTGAACTTCACAGGGTAAGTTCTCTGAACATGCCACTAATGATTTAGTTGAAAATGCAAGATGACCTGCTAATCAGGTATTATTGTGATTCTGGCACAAGTTCCTTTCATATTCTAACTTTGTAAAAAGTATATTTCGAGATTTTTTTCCTTCTACTTATGGTATCTGCCAGATATTTTGTAGTCCCTAGCCTCACCTGTGTGCCTACCTAATTCCAAAACCTTCCTATAGGAGCTGGAAGGACTTTCATAAAATATGGAAGATTGAACATTTTCATTGGCTTAAACCCAACACAATAACTGCATCCAGGGGAACTTAATGTTCTTTTTAGCTTAAGGTAATCCAGGTCCACCACCAGAGCTGGCAGTAGTGTATCTCCCTGAACTTATGGACCATGTATGAAAGGAGTGAAATGCTTAAGAAAAATCTGAGTACTATAAGGCAGGTAAGGGAAAGGAATGCTATGTAATCAATCAATAAATGTCCACTAGACAAGGAAATAATGTTCCTTGCTCTATAAATTTCCTTCAAGGCAAACCGTCATATATAGACTTCATACAGTCTTTTCTCATGGAAAAGTTCACAAATTGATCCCTCATCTGTAAATCCCCTTCTACCAATGTTACTGTCATTCCGAGTTAACCAGATTTCCCATGTACATACTATGCTATAGTTACAGGGCAGTTCACCAAAGGATTTTTTTCTGATTTGGGAATTCATATATACATACATAAATACCCATGTCTTAGAAGAGTATAATTGTACAGTTAAAGACAAATTGATTTTTAATGAATAACCTTTTATTGAAAAACATAAAAATCACACTAAATAGGGGCAAACTCAGACATTTGACAGCTATATATAACAATAACATTTTCCATATACAATGACTATAATTCATTAATAAATTTTGCTCTCTACAGGACAGTATAAGCCCTAAGCAGAGTTAAACAAGAATAAAGAATGGGCATTAAAGTTCAAAGAAGAGTAGAAGTCTATGAAATGACATATGCTATAAAGACTAGAATTTCCTACAGCCTCCTCCCTGTTTAGAAGCTAGAAACACAGCAATGAAAAAACTAGCAGTTTAACTCTATGAAGTCTTCAGAGACTCAGGCTCCTCCATTCTTAAGAAAGAACCCTCCCAAAAATTGTTTGAGGAACCCAAGGAATCAGGATTTTAACAAGTATCACGGGTGATTCTAATACAGGTCGTTTATAACTGATGTAGGGGAATGAGGAAAAGATGCTAAAGTAACTCCTGAAAACTTAATGAGAGAAATAAACTATGAAATTGATAAACAGTTACTAAGAGCAGAGATATGCAAAGTTACTAAAACCTGAATACTCACATTTCACAAAACTCTGACTTAGATATTTTCTTTTCTAAAAAAACTCAATGTGAAGATGAATGATGCAGAGTGAGTCCCCAGACAATATGGAAGCACCTGAAAGAGTCTCAGAGGCTTTCTCAAGATATGACGCCAACATCTTGTTGAATACTTTCATAGAACTTCTCTAACCACACTTTATGAAAAGTTTAGATTTACTTTCATTGTTACCCTTTAAAATGTTTCTGATGATACTTTATAATTTTAAATTAATTTTGTGCTACAGATAATAGCCCTGTCAGGTTATGTCTTGGAAAGATAGGTAATACTAAGCTATGACTACTCATATGAAAGTCTGTAAATGAGATAATTTTCAACTAAGGAGCTGGGCAAAAATACAAAATAAATTCTGGCTTCCACATTCTCATCTCCATTTTATTCTTAAGGGAAATGGGAAGCAAAAGAAAAGAAAACCCTAAGACAGACAATGTGTCATAAAGCTGGGTAAGAGTTAAAACTATTTGGTAACATCTATCACTGTACTTCTTTTCCTTAACTCAAATGCAAAATTAAAATCATTGTTGGTGTTTATTAAGTGCTTTATCTATTGATCTTGATCAGAAAATAGATATATCTCCATCTAAATCATCTTAAGTTCCACAGCTAAGGTAAACTACTCTGCGAGGGACCAAAATATTGCCACCCTAAAATATGCCTTTGATATTGATTTAAGCTGGTAATTAAAAAACGAAAGACTTAGAAAGAACCTTTGACCTTCCCCCTCTTACTTGCTTAAAGGAATTCGGGTAGGAAATCCTACTTAAAGGAAGGGAACATCATTTTAGCATCATAACATAAACTAAATATGGTGGATCGGGAGAAATCTGGCAAAGCCTGTTTGTTGAAATCGGCCCAGGAAGAATTCACATGTTTGCTCTTTCTCATCTACCTGTAAATTGCCTGTTTTACCTTTGAAATCCCAGACCCCTGCCTTTATCCAAAATGGCACATAAGCCTCAACTGCCCGATGTCTCCATGGGTCTCATGTTCTTATGGCACCCAAGCATATATATCTGTAATAAATTTTGGACATTTTCTCCTGTTAATCTGTCATATAAATTTAGCCCAGCTAAAACATAGAAGGTGGAAGGAAAACTAATTTCATGCCCCACGCTGCAGA